TGTGCTCAACTCCGCTGTTTACACACACTCAACTCAGGATCACCCTGGATATCCCGCACACGACTCTCTGTATCACACACATCCACACACTACACTCGACTACCACCTATGGCGGCTATGACCGCTCCACCCTGCTGGCTATGGCTATACAACCTCTACTCTGCCCACTTCGTCTTCGGGCGCTCTGCAGACCACCTTGCACAAGTCGCTCAAGCAGCGCTTCCGCATGGCTTATGCAGGAAGGAATGAATGGCTGGGCGCTGCCTCTTGATCTATACTTCTGTAGCTCGTTGGTCTGCCCCTTTCCCATGCCCCTGGTGCACACAGTCCCACACGGTACTTTCTTGACTGGACTGTGACTGACTGGGACCGGTACCGCTGACTGCATGGGTTTGCACTGCCAACTCGATGCAGTCGCACTGCCGACTTGATGCAGTCGCACTGCCGACGTACCGCAGTTGGGCTCACCACTTGCCCACTTGCCTTTGTCTACACGTGAGCAAACTTCGAAAGGCCACTACTGGGACCTTCCGGAAGTCTGCAGACCTGGCCTTTCAAATACTGTAGCAGCTACGACCTTGACCTTTCAGGACTGTAGCAGCTACGACCTTGACCCTTCAGGACGCCTACAGCTACAACCTCTAGGACTCACTGAGACCTCTATCCAACAGGTCTACAGATCGAACTTCTACAACCTACGGACCTACGACATCCTACCAACTGTTGCGAATGCACAGGTCGCGGGTTCAACTCTCGGGGTCGACACAGGTACTGTACATAGGTAACGTAAAGACTGGGGATCAAGCCCTGGCATCTGCATTCGCTACTGCTAACAGGTGAATGCCATTTCACTCCCGCCGGCCTAAATTCGAGGTCCTCCGAGAATAATTCAGTCCAAGACCGGATTTTTACCCTTCTTCTCTCTCTCGTAGGCTCTAACTACGTCGGGGGCTGTTTCTAGAAGTTCGGTCCTCGTAAACCAGCGGTCGTCCTTGGGTTCCTGATAAGCAAATCGGACCTTATACTGCTTCTGTGGATGACCTCTACCTCCTATTCTGAATACGTCTTTGCCCACAATGCCCTCAATGTCATACCTTCCATCCATGTCCAGAGGGATCATGGATCTTCTTGATGGAAATTGTTGGCTTGTGACACACGACAACAACTTTGATGCATGAAACACATGGTAGGTGTGGAGGTGTGCTGGGATTTCTATCGTGTAGGACGGCCCATCCTCTCCGCCCTTAACTTCTAGAACCGGCCACGGTCCTCTGTATGCGGGCAGTAGCTTCTGCGAAATGTTCTCCTCAGGAGCAAATTCTTTGGACTTGACCCAGACAAGGTCGCCTACTTGGAACTTTGACGGGCGACGGTGCTTATTAGCCTGTTCTATCATTTTGTGTTGGGCTTTCTTGAGGTTCTCAACGACGGTAGCTAACTCCTTCTCGTGCTGCATCGCAAACTCCCTAGTACCGAGCGGTAGCCTATGAATCTGATCCCAGTTAAGTCCTTCAAACGGTCTGCGTGGTCTAAAGGACTTGTGCAACTCATTGGGAGTACGACAGGTGGCTAAATGCACGCTATTGTTATATGCACTTGCTACCTTGGGCAACATCTCATCCCAAATGATCTGATCCGGTCTAATATACATGCGCAGAACTTGTTGCAGGATTTTGTTCATTTGCTGAGTCTGACCGTTGGTCTCTGGATGACGGCCAGATGACATTAGCAACTTTGACCCATAGACTTTCATCAATTCCTGTCAGTTCTGACCAGTGAACCGAGTGTCTCTATCGCTAACTATAGACATCGGAATCCCAATGATCAAAGAACTTATGGATTACTAAATCAGTACGTGCCTCTGCACGCAAAGGAACAAAAACTGCGTATTTGCTAAACCTATCAACTATCACCATGACTTGGCTCTTACTGTGACTACTCTTAGCACTAGCATCCATGAAATCAATGGATACTGAGTTGCCAAGCTGATTGGGTGTAGGCAAGGGTCGAAGAAGACCTAGAGGGGCACGCGTAGTTGTCTTATTTCTCTGACAGACTTTGCAACGGCGAACACACTCTATGCAGTCAGCTTTCATTCCTGGCCAAGTGTACGCATGCATCAGATTGGCTAGAGTCTTTTGCCAACTAAAATGTCCCTCTGTGTCGTGGCATTCCCCTAGGATTAAACTACGGATCTCCGCGCTATTAGGAATGCACAGATGGTCTGCTACTCCGGTCTTCTCGAACTGTAACCCCTCTGTAGTGCGGTAATGTGGTTCGGTTTTTGGGGCCTCCTTAACTTTCCTGAGGAGGTCACCATAAATATGGTCCTGTGCATACGCCTGTCTTACTTTCTCTTGCAGGTTTGTCCCTAAATCCAGGTAGTGAACTATAGCTCCAAAGTAGTCTGATCTCCTACTTAGAGTATCCGCAACTACATTGTACTTGCCTTTGATAAGCTTGAGCTCAAAGTCATACTTGTTTATTTTAGCGGCCCACCTAGTCAACTTAGGTGTCATCTTGGCCTGCGTCTTCAGCCACCTAAGGGTCTCATGGTCTGAATAAACCTTGAAGTGCTTTCCAAGCAGGTAATGCTTCAAGTGCTCCAAAGCTTGCCTGAGAGCGTAGAGTTCTCTCTCGTAAGTCGAGGTAGCTACCTTCTCTGAGGGCATCCTCGCAGACATGAACTCTACGGGTCTATAGCCATTGTCGTCGTCCTGCTGCAACACGACGCCTATACCATACTGACTCGAGTTCGTGGTGACGACGAATGGCAAGGACGGATCTGCTACCTCGAGGACAGGGTACTCTATCAGCGCACGTTTTAACTTCTTAAGCGCGGATGTACAATATTTGTCCCACGTCCAGATCGCTTCTTTCTTTAGCAACCTGCGAAGGAGAGCGGCGATAGTATAAAAGTTCCTCACAAACTTTCTATAGTAGTTAGCTAGGCCTAAGAACGACCGCAATTCTGTCAGTGTGCAGGGCGTCGGCCAATCTCGAATCACCACTATCTTGCTGTCCTCAGGCTTAATCCCATTTCCATCTAAAACGTGGCCCAAATACAAAACTTGTGTGTTGGCCCACGTGCACTTCTTCGCATTGATCTTGAAGTTAGCCTCTCTCAGCTTTTCCAAGACCTGCCTCAAATGACCTTGATGCCCTTGGAGGGTCCTACTGAAAACTAAGATATCGTCTAAATAAATACGACGCATCTATCTAACCAAGGTCTAAACACATCATTCATACAACGCTGAAATGTGGCCGGCGCATTGGTCAGTCCAAAGGGCATCACTATGAACTCATAATGCCCATATTTAGTCCGGAAGGCAGTCTTGTACTGGTCATCAGGATGAACCTCTATCTGATGATACCCGTACTTCAAATCTATCTTCGAAAAATATTTGCAGCCCTGCACCCGATCTAAGAGATTGTCTATCCTAGACAACGGTTCAGCATTCTTTACCGTAATAGCATTTAGACCCCTATAATCTGTACACATATGTTACTCTCCCTCCTTTTGGGGGACAAATAACACTAGTGCTCCAAAAGGAGGCGAACTGAGTCTAATCCAACCCGTTTGGAGGAGCTCATCCAACTGCTTGCGCAACTCCTCTAACTCCCTTGGGGACATCCTATAAACTTCTCCCTTAGGAGTCCTACTGCCAGGCTCTATCTCTATACGGTGCTGGATCGGTCGCGGCACAATCCTGTCGGCGGCTTTGCTAAGTCCTTAAACTCTTCCAGCAGCTTGGCAATGGTTGGGTCCATTGGCTCATCTTTTCTAGGCTCAGTGACAGGCCTCACGTAGGCTACGAAGTCCTGCTCCTCTAATTGTTCCTTTCTCACTAACCACGCAAACGCGGGAGCACTGAGACAGCAATGTGCCAGGGAGTTGTCTACCCCTAACACATGGAACAGGCGGGCAATCTTGACCTCGCCTGGCGGACTAGGGATCCTACACTCATGCTCTCTTAAGTGGAGTGTGGCCCCTGCTGCCTCTCCCCAGTCCATACCTAGGACTATATCGAAAGGGAGGTTGTCTTCTACGAGGAGAGTCAGGGAATGGAGAACTTTTTCCACCTTCCCATCCTTTTCTAGGCGAAGATACACCTGGACTCCCTCTACATAGTCCTCGACACGCATCGTGCAATTGTCTGCGAGGACACTGACTATGGGTCTTCCAATTTCTGGACTTTCAAACCTAGCCTTAGTTTCTTCAACGCTCTACGGCTGATGTAGCTACGGGTAGCCCCTGTATCTATGAGGTCCCCCACTCTACTCTTGAACACTTTTAAATGTACTAAAACTAGTTGTCCCTTACTCTCTTTCTTCATTTTGGCCCAGATCGGCATCCTCTCCTTCAATTCTTATGCCAATCCGGTAAGGGAAGTGCCTAGAGAGACTCTAACACAGGCAGTTTCTGGACAGCTAACTAGGCACTGGCCTGCAACCTCTGCCATAGGCTCATGTGGTGTGGGAGTTTCGTGGTGGTGCGCGCACACTTCCCCACATGGCCTAGTGGTAGGGGCAGTTACGACCCCTACCGACGGCTGCCTTTTGACCTTTGGGCAGCGAAACGGGTTTCCCGATACTTTGGACAATATTTAATGATATGGGCAGGGTCACCGCAGTAAAGGCACTGCCCCTGGTCCATACGTTGTTGCCACACTCTCTGGTCCAAGCCCAAATTTTTCCAAGGCCGGCCCTGTGGCCAACCTGGGTGCCAACCTCCTCTCCTCTGAGGTGATCCTCCACCTCTTCGCTGTAGGGATCGACTGGGACCCGAACGATTCGGCAGGGGACCTTGACCCCTACCTCCCTCTTGGCGGTTCTTTTGGCCGCCAACCCCCTGTGCACCTGGACCTCGACGTCCCGTGGCCCGGCCCCCTTGACCTTGGCCTCCTCCTCTACCTTGCAGCCTCCCTCCAGCCGCGACAGCAGCGTACGTCCTCCCCTGACCTACACTACTGCCATCCTCCTCTAGCCCCCACTCAATCTGACTCTATGGGACTTCATCTGTACCACCCTCATCTAAAGTAAGGATCAGATGATCCTTGGCCCTAACCTGACCCGAGAGGGTACGTCCTTTTCACTTTTTTCCTTTATCCAAATCCTTGTGCCAGAAAGTGGAAACTGGCATGGATTTTGCCTCAAACAGAACCACTTCTCTACTTAACGCATCATACGTAATGTGGGCCTGTTCGGTCTTTTCAAGGAAATGCCATCGCAGGGGCTCTGACATGGCACGATAAAATAAGTTAACTAACTGGGTCTCAGTGACCCCGTGGTCTGGGACGGCTACTAGGCCATCCATCACTGGCTTGAGTGCTCTTGCACTCTTCCACTGCCTAGAGTGGATCGTTTGCAGCTTATCAGAGGCCCTGACGCCTCTCGTGGCGTCAGCGAACCTCACTCTTAGGAGTTTGAAGAAACGAGGAAGGGGGGTAATTTTGGAATATGCAACCATGTTGTTCTCACAACTGGCTACTCGCGCGAGGGACCTGGCAAAACTAGCCGCTTCATCCTTCAAGGCATGGAAGGCTACGAGGATTTGTTCCTCAGGTAAAATATGTTGTAAATATACATAGTTGTTGACGCTAGCCTCCCAATTATCAAAATTCTCCTCCTTTTTCCCGCCATAAGAGTCAGGGAATTTGAGCTTAACAGGCTCTTTACAGGTACGACCCTCACTCTCTGACGCGGCTACTACTTTGGCGCCCTCAATGACGCCTGCACAAAATTTCTTTGCGCCTTCCTTCAGTCTCCTCACTTCGGTCCCAACGTGAGTCGCTACGTCGCGCGCAAACTCTCGAAACCCGGTCCGAATGGAATGGAGGGCCATGTCTTGGCCCCTAACAGACTGATGATGTTCAATCCAGGCACGGCCTAGGAGCTCAATGCTCCCAAGGATCTTGTCCAACTTAGCCTGTATGTCAGGCTGGGCCTCTACCTCTTGCCTACATGAATGCAAGCTTTCCACTTCCCTGGCCATCCGGTTAGCCTCCTCCATCCTCTTCTTCTTCTCTCTCGCCAGGTGTAATTTCCACTCCAACTTTTTCTCATTTTCTATCGTCTGGCATTCCAGGGGATCACTCACTGCTTCGATCTCCCTTGGTGCTGCTTCCTTCTCCTCCTGAGGCACATACAACATCACCTCCTGAGCCACCCATTTTGATATCTTCTTCTCCACCCACATGTCATCCTGCTTCGTGCCACTGCTCGCTCCTCTTTCTCCCATACGCCTCCTTTCGAGGGCATGTTCTTCTTCTTCTAGCTGCTCCTCCTCTATCTCTTCCTCTTTTACTGCAGCCCTCATCTTATCTTCCTCCTCCTGTTGTACTCTCCTTATCTCCTCCTCCAACTTTTTCTTCTTCGCCGCCTGCTCCTCCGCTATTATCTTTAACTTCGCTTGCTGAAGGAGCTCCTTTTTCTCCCTTTTCTCTTTTCTCTCTCTTAAAATGGCGGCGGCTTGCTCCTCTTGAGCGTGGGTGTAAGGGGTAGTACTCTTCCCACTACGGGTATCAACCATGGTGTCAGGTGTACAACTGGACAATAGTTCCACTCCTCACCACTCAGACTTCTACCCCCTAACTGACTCAACCGATGGACCACAGAATCCGGATAGGATCCTGTCAACTAGGGTCACTAACCTAAAGTATGGCTGTCACTGCAGGACTCACTGCTGATCAGGAGGCATTTAAGGAGATCCCCCGTAACTCCTCAGGAATTATTTAACGTCGCAGACAGGACGACGCGATCAGCAAGTCCTCTCAAGACTTAGACGGCCCGTTGTGCAGCCCACAGCTCGGATTTTGGGCCTACCGTGCCACACCAAGAAGGCCGCCGGTCAGTACCGGTCCTTGGGAGGGTTCGTGTCCTCCGGGACAGTCGAGTCGTCAGACACAGTCCTTAGCCCTACTCAGCCCGTGTGGGTTGGGTCAACAAGGCCCTATTCTTCATACACAGAGTTCCTACACCTGGACAGAAGAGACTCGATGCAGAAAGAAGAGACAAACAGACTCAGCAAGTACCACCGGGTGTGTGCACATCCATAGAGCGAGGAGATAGGCTGAAGACTTGGCGAGAATATACCAACTCCAGGTTGGTCAAACTGACGGTCAGCAGGTCCGGTCAACGCTTGGTCAACGCTTAGTGAACGCCGGTCTGCACCTTGGTCAACGCCGCGGTCAACCCCCGGTCAACCCCCGGTCAACCCCCGGTCAACTCCCGGTCAACTCCCAGTTGACTCCTGTCAACTCCCGGTCAACTGCGGTCAACTCTTGGTCAACACTCACCCGGCTATGGTTGCCTTCTTCTTCCTCGCCTCTTTCTTCTTCC